GTGGGAAAATTTAACTACCTGTACTTCATCATTGCAAGCGAAAATAGGTGACTACGACTCTTATTAAAGACTTACTGGTTCTCTTGAAGACCTGTTTAGAAAATAAAAATCAAGGAGGATAGCTTAATCGTACAACTTACCAAAAGAAAGCTACCCAACTAGTCTGTCCAGAATAAGTTATAGTAACATTCGCATACTTTCAGTTAAACTTCTTTTTTTGCTATTGTATAGTGATATCATTTTTAAATAATCCCCTTGCAGCATTTTCTGACGAAGTTACTATATAAATGGTTCAATAATAAATATACGCATCCTTTCTTCAACCTATCACTTCACCTGCAACCTATTAGAGGGCAAGCTATTGTTCCCAATATTGGTAAGGTAAGCATTAACTGCTAAAACAGCGTAAACGCTTTCTGCAGCTCAATGAAATTTATTCCTAGTCTAAAGTAATCCACATCAACAGCAGATAAGTGCCAGGAATGCTACAATTGCATTTTAAATAGAGTCCTTTATCACAATGATCCAAATAAACTAAGACAAATTTCGCATGGGAGATATTAATGTAGGCCATACTAGACAGGCTGAGTGCCTAGCCATCACAAAGCTTTTATTCAAGGAAGAAATATCTCTATGCCAAGTTTCATAGCTATAGGAATACTTGTGGACGAAAAATGGCGAAAAAAATTTCAACGCTTTTTATTCAGCCTTCTCCTCTTGGGGAAATCCAAGGCATAGCCTACCTAATTTGCACAAAATCGCTTTTTTGAATGAAAAAGATAAATAAGCTCCTTCAGCTTCTTCGATCTCGTATGATTGATATGTAGCTAAAACGTTTTTTCTTTGGTACGCACATATCCAAAATTGGTTATTTATTATTCACCCTTTCAAGGGTGTATTTAAACGTCAGATCCATCCCGCTATAGTCGCTTGTAACAGCTACTTTTTAAGGGTTCCACATCTAGTTTTTTGACAGGGAGCTCCTTTTTCATATGCTATTACATTGACTGGTAACAATTCTACTCCCGACTGATTCAAGTTCAAGCCGGGTCTCGCATGGAACCTTCATGTGCGATACCGCCAAGAAGACCTTTAAGCTCATTAATGGGATGACGTTCGTTTCAAAATCAAGCCTTCTCTATTTATCTTGGATGGATGGCACATTTTGTAAATAAGTCCATTTGTCTGTGAAGTGGCCAACAGTATTAACATTGCTTGTCATTTACGGGACCAAATGAGTTTGCTCAGTTTAGTTCAACTAAATTATGCCAATAAGCCAGTAGAATTTAAATCTAAGATGTGATATTAGTTAACAAAACCATTTATTGTATTTTTTCCTCACTCTTTTTCACTTGTTCTAACCAAGTTCATAAGCATCCTTCTTATAATCTATATAGTCTTACAATCCTTTAGAACTACTAGAAGCGTGCAACAGCTTTAGTGACGTAATGCCCGAACAATGAATGTGAACAAGTTCTTATAGCTCAGCTCTTATCAGGTTGTATTAGAATGAGCGGTAACAGGAATCTACGCGATCAAGCATTCTAGAAAGCTTTAGACTCCTTGAAATTAAGAAAAATCCCTGCAAATAATCGCCTGAGTTTAACCGTTATCCAGCCCCAAAAGACTAATTACAATATTCCAAACAATAAAATTATGGCAAACCTCCCAATATTCAGACTTGCTCTGTATGGGTCATCTGAATAGCAATCTACCATGTTAAGCTAATGAGCTAAAATTGAATTTGCATACCCTATTTTAGTGTATAGCCAACTTAAATGCAAATATGCTTATAATCCTTTTTAATGCAAAGTAATATCACTATTCTTTTTTTGATGTGTGCCCAATTTTTCACTAATCTATAAGGCTCAACCATGAAAGTGGACTACAAGTTCAAAACATAGTCACTGAACATGAGACATTACGAAATGCGTATAGGGGTCTCAATTCCTACCGCATGATCGGATTTCATATGTATTCTGATTAATCTTTGCGGTTAACTTATTAGAATCTCAGATGTATTCAGTCGGATTCTGAAGTTATTAACATAAATGTAAAGACTACTACAGACCAGGTGAGATTGGGACATAATTTCCGCTAATTCGTGAAGAATTTATTTTTCTTTCCTATTTAAGATTGGCCTAACGCCAAATCGCACCCATCCCTCATCATATGACGCTTTATTCATAAGTCCATCTAACGTACATTTATAGCCGCACAAGCTTTAGACGATTTTGTTGCTAAATACTGTTTATCAGCAGTCATATCCCAATAACTTCCTATAGGGTATTTCTTAATTTTCACTTGAGATCATGATCTTGGGACGATTATTAGTTTCTGGAGTCACTTCCAAAACGCTTACATGAGTGCTTTTGTATTTGTAAGCATCGGTTTAATATCACAAATGAACTAAAAAATATTTAAAATTTACTGCATGATAGCTTGGCTCTATGATGAGATATCCAATACTCTTTAGCTTCTGTTTTTTCCTTTTATCTATGCCACCTATCTTTCATGACATTTTTATTTCCCCCTATATTTTCTCTCACTCTTGTGCAACCTGATAATATAGTCGATGGACCTCTTGCCAACACTTACTCAGGCACAGGTAGGTTTACAGAAACGCCTATCCGATACAAAGGCTCTATATCGTCAAGAGGTGCAGACGCGTCGTATTTTGTACAACACATTGATCGAGCTTCGTGGAAATATTCGCGTATTTTGTCGAATTCGACCTTCAGCGTTAGTTAACAATTGGTTGGCAATTAGTGAAGATCATGAGTTGATTGCTAGCTTGCCTAATTCGTCCACAAAACGTCGGTACCAGTTTGATGAAGTATTCACTTCAACTAGCACACAAGAAGATGTAAGTTATACTTATTGCCTTTGAGACTTTTGTGCTAAATAAATGAATACAAATGTGGTGTATTTTAATCAATAAAACCTTACTTGCTCGGTAAAAACTAGAGGATACATCAATGCATTTCGAGTCAGAATAACAAGTTTTCTCATACCATGTTCGTGAAATTTTTTTTGAAAAAGGAACTAATATGTGTTTGGGTGAATCAAATTTCAACTTTATTCTACCTTAATTTTTTATTAGATGTTTTATCAAGGCGCCAAAGTGAATTTTGTCAACTTTTGCCGCTTACTCATTATGAGGAATCAAATGCACAAGCCTCATCGAGGCATGAATAAGATTCTCTTTCAACCTCCACAGGAACAAAATCATAAATCTCGGATATTTCATTGTCCTAGCATTATTGCATGAAGCTCTTTATTACAGTTCATAAATAGAATACAGAACTTTGGACTTCATAAAAGATCTAAATGAATTAGTCATTCAAGACAAGCAAGACTTCACAGATCCTATGTATAATGAGAGTATCGATTAAGCAAACGTATGTTTTCCGTGCATTATACATCATTACTTAATTTTAAAGTAAGTAGTAAGCGACCTTAAATGATTAAGTTCTTATCCAAGAATTACGGATAGTCTAAATAACAACTTACTTTGAAAATTATTAATCTCGTCGATTGCAATGGCATGCACATGTTTGCCTGATCGATGATATCGCTATAAAATTTGA